GGTTGAGTGCCCCAGGTTCATTCCCCAGGACCAAAACAAAGAAAAAAAAATTGTCTTAATCCATTGGGGCTGCTATAACAAAATACCATCAACAGAGTGGCTTTTAAAGAGTAGAAACTTATTTCTCACAGGTTTGGAGGATGGAAATTCCTACATCAAAGTGCTGGTGGATTTAATGTCTGGTGAGGGACCACTTCCTTGTAATTGCCACTATCTCACTGAAACCTCAGGACAGAAACAGTGAGGGATCTCTCTGGAAACATTTTTACAAAGAAAAAAAATCCCACATTTGAGGCGGTTTCTGATGACCTAATCACCCCCTCCCCCAATATCTCTGCTCTCCTAATTCCACCCCCTTTTGGTTTAGAATTTCAACATATGTATTTTGAAGTGTGTACAAATACCAGAATTCTAAGGTAGAAATGGCTAACTTTGTTCACATTGCTGTGTTACTTCAATTATCTCACTCCATTGTGATGTCAACACTTTGAATATATACAGCATTAGCTTCATTTCACAAGTGAGAGTATAAATGAGATTAAATTGCTATTTTCAGTCAACATTCCACCATCAAGTACTGTCCTGTCCTGTGAAATTTTCAATGTGACAGTTATAGACAAATTTAAATGAAACAAAGATCCAAATAACTACATATTAATGGACTTTCCATTAACCCCCCTCTTTAAATGTAATTTCTTTTGATATCAATTCTTTTAAATGTTCTTCATATTAAAATACTGCCCTTTCTGAAATATAGTAGTCTGCATTTTGATTGATTTATCTTCTCTAATATCAAAATTTAAACTTAATAATGCTAATGACTAGAAAGCTCAGTGTTCATCAGCATGTCCACATTATCCCAAATAGTAGAAGACCAGGATGGGACTCAAATTCATTCATGTGTGACTTCAGAGATTATTCTCTCCCCATCACAATGAGAATCCTGATAATTATCAGGAATACCTCTGTATTATAGACCCCTCCACCAAACATTGTGATTACCTGGTTTTTCTTATGCATATAAGTAAGTAATTAGCAGGATTTATCTCATCTACATAGTTTGTTACCTAAATTGCTTTGTGGTCATAAGCCAACATTTTTCAGGTATCAGTTCATTGACAAATCTCAGAAGCAAACTAATTTTTTTTCATGTTGTTGCTGAAAATGTGTATGTGTGTGAGACTATTTTTAATTACTTTAATAAAGATGTGTTCATGGCTCGGCCCATTTCATTTCTTCCCAGTTCATAATTTATAAATTTGCAACAGTACTCCTCCCTAGGTCTCCTACATAATTGAGTAGGTGAGCTGAATATTGAAGCAGCTGAAGTTGTACATGCTTTCCTGATCAGTCTGCATATTTTGTTGCTTTAATTTAAAGACCTGGATACTTTACTAATCAGGTTGAATTTTTACCTAATTGAGATCACAGAAGTGTTTTGAAGGCCTGTGCTAGCATTTAATTGTACCATTTTATAAAATTCCCAAGACAATTAACAAAACTTTGTTTCTTTTAAGACAAAAATAATTATTTTTTATAACTAATCCATCATTCACTATACCCTGTTACATCTCTGTCTTTCTTCCCCAAGTGAAACAGTATTGTTTAATTATACATGCGTGAGGGAAAATTACATCTGAACTTTTCTTTCTGCACAAGAAAATAAATGAGGTTCAAATTGATAAAGAAGGTTGAGCTTAGAGAGGCACTTTTCTAACTTACACATTACATTTTTACAAAACTGTGCATTGATCTATTGGCCAAGTGAAAACAGATAATCCTTGTATAGATAGTAATACTTAATATAAAGAGACACATGAGTTATATCCACAAGAATGGTGGGGGAAAAATGAAAGAAAGAAAGAGAAGATAGAAAACAGGAAAAGATCTGAATAAAGGGCAAGTGGGGAGGAAATCAAAGGAAGGATGGAGAGATAGATTGAGATACACATAGAGATAGATAAATGTAGGATCAGAGAGGCAGAGAAAAAAATAATTGCATATTATTTTGAAAATGATACAAATGTCAAAGTACAACAATAAAGTTGTATGTTTTGCCATCCCTAATTTTTTTTGTTTGCTTTGACATTTGACAATGTTATGAAAATCTATTTTCAGTGGACTAGCTTTGCATTATTTTGATATTGTCTGTATAATTTTCTATCATGTGTTTTCAGATTAAATATATTTTATGTAAGTATCTTTGAAGAACATTCTCTTCACAGCTATAAATTATTTATCCATTTTTTTCAACATTATTCAATTCTCCTACTTATGTACAACCACTATTTTATACAACCATTATTTTGTATTCTTTCTTTTATATTATATACAATCCCATAATGATTACTTTTGTGTGCAAATTTCTTTTACTTTCATTTTCTTTCAATAACAAATTATTTCCTCTGAAAACAAAATATCCAAAATGAAAATATGCCATACCATGAAAATATTTAAAATAATGTGTTAATTTTATTAAATTATTTCCAAACTATATAAATTTATTTGCATACTATCATTATAAAAGAGATATACAGACAGAAGAGTTGTTAGTAGACAGAGAAGTCTATTTTCATATGTACTGCTGATAAAACATGTATTGCTTTTATTTCTTCATTTAGAAACAAAATATTTAACCATTTTAATAATTATTTATTAATGTTAGCATAATTCTACTATATCAGTTTTCAGTATCATAAATCATTACAATTGCCATTTATTAAATATATAATATCAAGTAGTCTGCTATATTAACCTTAGATATGATTGATTTATTATGTATTTAAAATGTGTCAGATATTTTATTCCCAATTCCTTCTTCATTTAAAATCTGTGAACAACCCATAATTTCTATTTTTTCCCCTATGAAATAAATAAGGAACATGATCCCTAGGCCAAAAGCAGTTGAGTTACAGCTCCCATGTCCAACAGTGAACAAGTTAATGAGTGAACTCACAATTAAGTTTTCTGAATGCAGAGCCTGTTCCTCTCACTGCTTAGGAGCTTGATATTCTTGATCTCAATTTATCCTCAAATATCTCATAATGATACATATGTTATTGTTACCTTTCTTCACTTCATTATCCATGTGGACTTTCTTAAGAAATATGAATAGTGTGTTCATCTTAACCATTCAAACTTTTGACAATTTTCCATATTGTTCTTTTGAAGATATTTCATTATAATCAAGTGTTGGAAGATATGTTTGTGTTAGCATTTAAAATCATAATCATAACCACTGCCCTGCTTAGACTCTAAATCAATGTCTTCCTTTTGTATGAAAGTAACAGGCATAGTAAAGAAATGTTTTAACTCCCCCAAATACCATAATTCAGTTGCTGAATTATTTTTTAAATACCTAAGACCAAGATATTTGCCACATAATATGGCAAAGATATGATGAGGGCCATAGACAAGTCAAGATGGCGCCTGGCACTTTGCCAGAAGGAGTGGTTTGAGAAGTAATGCCAGGGAGCCATTAAGATGATAGGTTCCTTAATGACTGACTACTGTATCCAATGATGTTAATTAAGTTAAGCTGTGTATAATTATTAAGATGATGATGATTCTTTAATGACTAATTGCTATAACTGGATGATGCTAAATTGAGTCAAGCTGTGTATTCAGTAATGTATATATACCTCTACTGTCCGGTAATAAAGCGCTTCCCGCTCCTGCTGTATCAATCTTCACAAGTTGCTCATCACTCTCCGGTTAGTTTGCCCAGCCAGACTGCAGCAAAGATGCTTGAGGGAGACAAATGTTTTTGCAGTATTGGTGTTTGTGTCATGTAGTGTGTGTGTGTGTGTGTGTGTGTGTGTGTGTGTGTGTGTGTGTGCATGTGAGCTTGCTATTCTACCAAGAACACAGTTATGATTTAGTACATCCTTATTAAAGGATGAGCGAAGAGAGCTTCTGGACATTGGTTGCCTCATTATGTTAATAATTTTCATCATTAAAGGGTAAACAATGTACTGAAATCTTAGTAGGTTTAGGTGCACTGAGATAAGTGCCCTAAATATTTTAATTTAATTCCTGTGAATACTTAGGAGCAAAAGTTCCTCACTGGAAAAAAAATAATGAAATATATATGAATTGAGATCGAGAAAAATTGAGTACTTTGTCCAAGGCCACAAAAGAAGTAATAGTAAATTTAAGAATTTGAGCATTGGGAAATCATGTACTTCTTAGTCAATGGGTTCAAACACAACCTTGTTGTGCTTAGTCATAAAATCTCTTATACAAATAGGACTTTTTGTCTCTTTCTATGAGTTGGAATTCTATTTTAGGTTATAGCAATAAGAATTAAAGAAAATGATACTTACTAAAAGTACTATTGGGAAATCAGGCAAAGAAAATATTGATCTGACAAAAAGTTTTGTGTTTGTGTGTACTTAATAGTGACGGTGAAAAGAAAATCTGAGTTTGAGTAGGTGGCACCAAAAATGAGGCTGAAATGGAATATTTTTGATTGCCAACATTATTGATGATAATAATAGTAAAATAAAGTTCATTGGTTAGTAAAATTTTAAGTTCTAAAAATAACATATTTTGTCATGATACTTAAGACTTTTTTGTGAGACACATTGATGATAGTATCATTTCACTTGCTTCCTGGCTTGCAATCTTGTTATTCCTACAGCACAGAGGTTATTGACATTTTTAAATTTTGAGTCCACACGCATCACAAATATAGTAGTTCTAAAATTCTTCCCTTATTTTTAACTTTCAAAAAAAGGAAACAAGATTTCTGTTGGAATTGAACTTCTTTGTAGCAGCTGATTTCCATAAGCACTGCTGAGATTTCAAAACTGACCATGAAAACTTGATCTGTTCTTGAAATCCCACTCACGATGTATTGATTTTGTCCCTAGCTTCCCTTTCAGTGTTCATCAAAATGATGAGAACTTCTTAAAGGGAATTTTTCAAAAGAGTTTTGCTCCCACTTTTCTTTGTTTAATTTAACTCAATTGACCTATTTTTATTTGCCACTTTTATAGGAGGGCAGGACCTGTTTAACAAAACACAAGGACAGTCCCCCGAGAAATGCAACTGCAGAATCACAGCCTGTCCCACAGGTATGTGCTTTCTTGGTCTGTTTTGTTTTGATTATGTTGGGAAGTACTTCTTGGATCCATTGCACTCAGTGCATTTGCTTTAGCTGTAGTGGGGGGGTGGTACTGACTAGTACTAGAGAGTTCCTTCAACAAGGGCCATTGGACCTGTGCGGGCCCTGTGCTTTCCACTAAAGATTCTCATAAGATTCACAGTGAAGGAGCTGTCCCTCACCTTCACCCACGCCACAACCAAAAATATGTATATGTACATACAAAATGTATATATGTATATATACACGTGTGTGTGTGTGTGTGTGTGTGTGTGTGTGTGTGTGTGTGTGTAAACAGAGTACAAAATACATGCAAAATAAACTTCTTATGGGATGAAAAAGAATAAAGAAGATTTGGGAAAGCAAGGTGGAAAGGGGTACCTATCCCACCTTCCCCTGCCCCCCCCCAAAAAAAAAACTATCAACACAACTCAAAGGCTTCATTCTGAATTCTCTTCTGTTTTGCTTTTATAAGCAACCAAAAATATTCCGTTATAGCAATCTTACGTTTTATTAGAGTTAGATTGATCAGACGTGAATGGTTCAATCAAAATTTTCTGAAAGCAGTTATTGGAAGTCCAGCTATTTCTGTACAAAATGTTAACTTCCATGAAAGTAAAAGTATTAGCAATTTGACATTTTTGATTTGTGTCTGTGATTAGTTTTCCAAAAGGCGTTGATTTAGATATGGATTTTCATTACCATGCTTTAGGATTTTATATTTTTACCTTAAAATGGTTTTATTTTGATTCTTCTAATTGCGTTTCTATGTTATTTGACAGAAATTGCAAATGCCTCTGTGTTCTGAATGTGAGGTGAAAAAGGCTCCAGAGAAACAATTAACCAGCTTTGAAGGGATGGCGGCAAGAGAAGAGAAAATACTGTAAATACCAAGAAACTGTGTTTAAAACATCCATTTGCTCTTATATTCATACTCTTTTTAGACAACAAGCTTGATGGAAATACTAAATTTCTAAAGCATGCATTTTTTTTCACGATTTTATGTAACTTTATAAAGTAATCTCCACGTAGTCTGAAAGTTTCCAAGCTGATTATGACCCTTGAGCAATAACCTACTGGAAGAGGATTTCTGATCATAAGTATTTCAATGTCATCACCAAATTGCCCAGTATAAATTGCCCTGTTTTGAACTAAAATGCCACATAACTTTTAATCATTTTTATTCATTTGCATATCTGATACTAGTTGTTTTATGATCTAGTTGTTGAAATCAACTGGAGGATAATTAACTGTTGTGGGTCTTCAGTATTCTGAAAATTCAAATCACAACCATGTTATAAAAGATTTCAGTCTATTCTAGCAAACTGGGGTCACTTTACCCAAGATTGGAAATTTCTCTACCTGAATACATTCTTCATGTCATTGCGGTTATTGCTGTCCTTATTCTTTTGAACCAATAATAATTTTTTATGTAAAAAATGCCAAGGCAATTTTGTCAAGGATGTATACAGGTAACAGAAATTATTAAATATGTTTTGCATCATGTAGACAAAATATTTGAATGAATAGCCAAATTTCTGACACATTCTCTTTTTCTTTTACATTTTGTAGACACATCTTAATACATATGTTTCTCTCTACCAGAATTATTCCATGCTAGAAATCCATCTATTTGAAATGAGCAGCACAAATTTTGATATGAATTTGGGTAGTGGAATATAGAATAGGAGGAAGGTTCTAAAATAGAATAAGCAAGAAGACATTATATATTTAAAAATGGGTATTTAAAGAAAGTAAAATAACTATGTAGACACACAAAATAAAAAGAGTCATATTTTTTAAATTAATGTATTATTGAAAGTAATCACTGTTATGTTTTAATCCTCCAAACTAGGTTTCTACATGTGGATGTCAGTATTAAATAACTGCATTCAAATCTGAAAAAAGCTCAGAATTAAAGGGAATTGACACTTGAATAATAATCTGGTAGAATCAATGGAGCATCAAACTTGCAGACTCAAATTAATAGAGTAACAGACACATTTTATAAATTCAGAAAGCATATAAAACCACAGATTTTATAAAATGAATCTCTAAAGCCAAAATGAATACATTTGGACTTTCTTATATGGAAATTTATAAAAACATATTAAATGAAAATTTAATTTGTGATCAATAGAAGTACTTATTCTAGGATAGAATGGTGTTAATTTGAGCACAATGGCATACTTGAAGAAATGTAGTGAATTGGAGAATTTAAAAATATCACTAGTAGTAAAAGAAATGTTGTATAGTTATGTGGCAATTCTACTTGCAAAGCAGCTCAGTATTCTTTATCAATATTTTTCATACAACAGCCTAATCAGAAAATAAATGATATTTTAAAAGATCCATACAATTTTCAGCTGAAGCAGCCAAGATAAAATAAAAGACTCAGGTCAGAAATTCCAGTTTACTCAATTCAAATTCAAAAAGAAGAAAAAAAATGAAAAAGAAAAAAGATAAACAAGAAAGAAAGAAAGGCAAAAAAGTTCATTTTGTTCTACAAGGGAGTGGGGTACTAGTCTCCAGACTCTGGTTGCTTATAATTTTCCCACTGTATCTAGGTACCCTATCCATCTCCTTTTACAAAAGGAAAGGAGATAATTTAGCTTTAAATTAGAACTACTCTGTCACCCATCCTCTTGTCCTAAACTTTTGTCCTAGTCCCTATGGGTTCTATGAAACATTGATCACCAGTTTTCTTAACTCAGAATGTTTTGAGACATCTAAAGTTGTTATGAGAGATAACATTGAAAAATAAGGATTTGTCTTATTATTAATGAAGTACGAGCAGTTTCATACTTGATTATTTTTTCTGTGTTCTGAATCACTATTCTAGTATGTGAAAATGTAATTCATTTGCTCTTCTTAATTACTGCCTTGATCAAATGGGCTTTGAATCATTATAATGTACATTAAAAATACACAGCCTTATGCATTCTGCAAGGTTTATCATGCTATATTTATTGCATAAATTCAACCCCTTCTCTCCCTCCCCTCCAAAAAAAAAAAAACCGGTATCATGAGATTTCTATAAGTATTTTAAAGAAATATTCTGGGAATTCCTTTTAATGGTTAAGTAGGGGGGTGCTTTTTAATATGATCCATCACTGTACTTTAATTAACGTATTTCATTTCTCTTGGTCCTTTAATTGCTTTAAAATAGGACCAGAGAGGCTTAAAATGTTTTACTGACTTGTGTTTGTTTATAAAATAGGTTTCATTACTAATTATCAATATTAATTGTCAATTATATAAACAGATGGTGTTTTGAAGAATTACAATTTAGGTTCTAACTATCCTCATATGGAAGAAATATTACCTGAAATGTTGACTATGGATAATATAATTGGATTATGTATCTGTAATCATAAACAATGAAAAACTACTGATATCTTACAGAATATGGACTGATTCCTATAGAAAAAAAAACATTGTCCAATGGAATAACTTGTTTTGATATAGGTATTACCAAACTAACAGAAATTTGATTTCTCTCTAGTTATTTTGATGTATTCTGTAAATTTTAAAATACTAATCAAATACTATGTACTCATTTCTAAGTTAGAAACTTGTTTTGGACTTTGTCCTTCCTATTATGTGCATTAACTATGTAAATTAAACTAGTGCCTAAAATGTACAAGACCTAAATGAATGCTGACTGTATCTCTCCAATGACAACCTGTTCTGAAGAGAAGTGAATGATTTCAGACACTCATTTGGATGTAGTTTTCTGTGTAATCTCAAATATCAGAATACTGAATATAATAAGAGGCTAACTTTTTTTTAAGTCCAAGCAAATATTTAGTATTATACTATGGCTTCATTACAATTCTCTTTCATACTATATACTCAACTACAAGTCTAAGACAGTAATATATGAAGGAGACATTTACTGTTTTGATGGACAATGTGCATTGCAGGACTAAAAAAATATTTATGAACTTTGCTATAATGGAATATTGTATTTTTATAGCAAAAGGTACTGTGATTAGCACTAATGGCCTGAGAGACTAAAATAATTACTGATACCATAGAGTAGCGTGAGCTGGCCAAACCTAGAGAATAAGGAAATCATACAATCTCCCCAAGTGATGTGTCCATCTGAATTGTGTTATATAATATTAATGGCCACATGGTGAAGAATAAAAGGTGGTGAAAAAGGCATATTCTTGTTCAGTAAAAGTTTGTTACCAAGACTATATAACATCCTACATAAGCTAACTGAAAAAACAAATGTTAGCACTAAAAATAGTATTTTCTTCTGTGTATCACAATCTAAGAACTTTTTTGAAATGCCACCTTGGAAATTTCTTCAGTCTCTTTGACAATGCCCCAGAAATATTTTATTTTATTTAGTGAGTTTTTAAAAGTAGAATTCCATGATGGCAGAAACTTTGTCTTTTTTCATTGAATGTTAGCTTTAATTGCTGAATAATTATTGCATATATTCAAGGAGCAAAATGCGATGTGTTGATATAACTATGCATTCTGGGATGGATATATCCAGCTAACTTACATACCCATGAACTCACAATTAGATCTCAAGATCTTAGAACTAACTTCCTTCTAGAAGTCTGTCAAATATTTGCTGAATTAATAATTCAGATTCTGAAGCAGCATAAAACAAGCAAAGGAAATGGCAAAGAATCACATTCTGTTATGAAAACAGAATGAGCGATGGTTTCAGAAAAAGAAAATAAATGTTTTACGTGCATCTTTGTTTTGTTTTGTTCACAGACTAAACTTCTTTTACCTTTCTCTCTGAAAGGTTTCTCTGTGAGACTAGTATATCTTGACTTCAGGCAAAGCAGAATACAGCACTCCTGGATTAATTACTATATGCCTGAATATCATAGGCATATAGAAATATGCTATGGAAAACAGGAACATGTTCTACAAAATGCACCATTAGATAAATTCATTGTTGTGAATGTCACAGTGAATATACAAAAATGCAGATGGGATAGCCCACCACATACATTCTTAGGCTCTCTATACAACCTATTGCTCCTCAGCTACAAGCCTGTACATCATGCCATTATACTGTAGGCAATTATCCCTCAATGGTATTTGCACATCTAAACAGAGAAAATGTATAGTCAAAATTGTAATCAATAGAAAATTTTCAGCTACATTATAATTTATGAGAACACTGTATCATAAGGATTCTGTTGATGACCAAAATATCACTAAAAAGTATATGCCTGTATATCATATGGGCTCTGAATCATTAATAGGCATGCAGCTCTGACACACCCTTGCACATGCACAAGGGCCCAATTTTTTTTTTTGTGGTACTAGGCTATAAACCCAGGGTGCTTTATCACTGACCTATATCTCCAGCTCTTTTTAATTTTTATTTTGAGACAGGATTTCCGTAAGTTGTAAAGGCTGACCTCAAACTTGCCATTCTCCTCCCTCAGCCTCCTGTGTCACTGAGATCACACACATACACCACCATACCCAGCTCTTATTTTAGACTAGCACATGAATCTTTTAGGTTTTAATGAGTTGAACCAAAATTTTTCTATACATTCTGTGGAGACCTAATCCTTTAGTAAAAGCAATTAAAGAACTGTTGAGGAGGTAAAGGAGATTTAAGAGGATTGGACCCTGGATTCCATATTGCTCATTTTCAACTAGAGAATTTATACTTTTATCATGTATTTTTAGGGTTTCACAATCATCACCTCCTCCCCCTCCTCCTCCTCCTAAATATCATAGGCATATAGAAAGGTGCCATTTAAAACAGGAATATGTTCCTCTTTTGGGGGGTACTGGAGTTTGAAATCAGGGATGCTTTACCACTGAGCTACATCCTCGGCCATTTCTGATTTTTATTTGAAAACGGGTCTTACTAAGTTGCTGAGGGTCTTGCTAAATTTCTAAGGATGGCCTGGATCTTGTGATCATCCTGCCTCAACCTCCCAAGGATTACAGGTGTATGTCACAAATCCTGGGCACAATATACATATGATTTTAATGGAGAAAAGGAATCCAAGATCGGAGTGATCTGAAAATGACAGATTAAGATGATCTCTGTGATCCCCTCTTCCCATTTGCTCTTTTAGTCAATGAGGTGATCAGTTATTCAAGAAATTATTTTTGACATCTCAAAACGTGGCTGCTATTCTCCTTGTTAAAGATCCAATTTTAATAGCAACAATAATGAATACTATCAGTTAAATATATAACTTACAATTGCATTGCTTCAATACTTTTAGAAATCATTGATAAGATATTATAATTATCATGTTTTTCAAATAGGAAGAAATTAAGATAGAAAAATATTTAAAATAAAATCACACACTAGAAAGAGGAAGAGGTGGGTTGTGGAACTGGAGATAAGTTCCTGGAACCCATGTGCTTAACCATCTCAACAAACAGCCTCTCCTGAAAATAGTGGGGACCTGCCCTAACAGAACTTACAGTGTGTAGGGATACAATGACTAATGAGGAAAACTCCCAAATCAATGCTTGCCTACTACAATCTCTCTCTCTCTCTCTCTCTCTCTCTCTCTCTCTCTCTCTCTCTCTCTCTCTCTGTCTATCCATTATCTATCTACCTACCTACCTACCTACCTATCCTCTTGGATGAAGAATAAAAGACACAGGTGAAGACACAGGGTAAGAAGAAGGGTTTCTGAATGTATATTGGCTTTGTGTATCCTTCATGGAGAAAATGATGTTCAGCTAAGATTAATAAAAGTATAATATTCTGCACAAATGTTCAGAACTTTAAAAAAAATAAGTTTTATAGTGTTTTCAGACACTAATAATATTTTAAAGTGAGAACTTGAATTCAAATGACCAGATGATTATAAATTATTGTTGTGCAAAATCTAAAAGCATTACACTAGAGAATCAACACTGTAGTCTGTTCCCTGTAAACTACAGTATCTGGGTTTCTTAGGCTTAAAGAACACTGAAATGCCAGTTTCTTCCATAGGAGTGTGTCAGGCTTAAAATTGTGTCAGGTTTAAAATTGTGTCATTCATTCTCTCTCTCTCTCTCTCTCTCTCTCTCTCTCTCTCTCTCTCTCTCTCTCTGTCTCAGAAAACAAATATTTAATTAAAATGAATCAACAAAGTTACCCATGGAATAGTTAGAATATTTGAACCAGAATGCAAGCAAATGTGATATGAATGGATTTTTTTCTCTTTTTTTTCTTTTTTTGAAGGGTTTAAGGGGATGAACTCAGGGCACTGTACCACTGAGCCACATCTCCAGTCCTATTTTGTATTTTATTTAGAGACCCAGTCTCAATGAGTAGCTTAGCACCTCACTTTTGCTGAGACTGGCTTTGAATTAGCAATTGTCCTGCCTCAGCCTCCCAAGCCGCTGGGATTAGTGTGCCATGTGTTCTCCTGGATTTCCCTTTCATCCTTAGTGATTCCACCTTCCTAAGTCCCATGATTCTTGCGAGAGCACCATTTCACTACAAGCCATGTAAATGCAATGGCTACTTGGGAAGGACATATAATGTAAGACATTTTTTCTCTGAAAAGTGATACTATTTGAAGCTTCTGGAAGAACTTAACCTCAGCAGCTAATTGTGGAGTAAGCTTACCCCCTGGATGTGTCTTTATAAGAATGAGAACAGGAGAGCACAATTTGTTATGGGTGCTGTCCTGTCAATGGCTTATCTTTAACACTTTTTCATGATGAGGTGCCCATGCAAAGCAAGTCTAGAGACAGACCTTCAGCAGTTGGACCCAGTGCAATTTCAGGGCAAATAGCAGAATACAGAAGGATGCCTGTCAAATTGGCAGCTTATTTATGACAGCAAAATGACAACTTCTGCTCAGCAAATATCATGTTGAACCCCATCACATCTCCTGATACTTGTTCCCAAAGTAAAATTTATTTGGGCTAGAAATCCAAAATCTCCCTTCATGCCTCTCCTTGAGATAATGTCTTGAGTGAAAATCAGAGTGTTTACTTGGTAGAGTTCACATCTTGAAATGGTCATGTTTCCCACATGAACAAAATGTTGATACTTTGATTATGAAAACCTCTAAGGATGGCTTATCTTAGGTGATTTTTACACAGAGAAAGAGAAGCAAAATGAAGAGGAACAGGGTAATACTGGGGAATAGGTAATGAAAAGCACATTTTAAATTTGTTATTTTGATTCTTGAAATAGATCCTGTTGAATTAAATAAAGCCTGAATAAACTGAATTATTTACTAGATGTGTTTCCAGTCATTTGTAACTCCTAAATGATATATTTTAATGACTATTAGCCAAATTAATAAGTTTGAAAAGATGTGAAAAGGTAATAAATGTTATCTGTTTGAGGAGAGCTGTGAATCAGCTAGGTATGTTCAAAAAGAGTAAAGTAGGTCATCAGCAACTTGAAGAAATTAACTGTACTATTGTAGAAAGGTACTCCAGCTTCACATATTTTATTTCCCTGGAAGCAAACTAAACAGACTATTTGTATAAATTCATTTTAAGTAAAGGAACATGAGTGTATCTGTGGTTTGGGAAAGCATAAAACTTCAGAGAGATACACATAATACCATTCTGCCCAGATACTCATTCTGCCTATGATAGAATTTTTTTTTTGACTGAAAAGTTAGTACAGATATTTCTCTACAATATTAATCTGAAATGTCTATCATAGCCCTTTCATTACCATTTCATATCAGTTTTAGGTATGTAAAAGTTTTAGATTTTGGAGTCTATGAATAAATATTAGAAGTTTCTGGAATCATTTGTTTTTTCATTGGCCTATCATCTATGAACTAAAACCCGATAATTTTAAATATTTTCCCATACACATATATGTGCACCAGTGTCACAATGAACATACTATATAATCCAGGATATAAGAATGGATACACTATATTTGCAAACCAAATCAGTCATTTGATGCAGAAAACCACCACTATTTGGAAGGACACAGGCTTAGCTCCTGTACTTTTTTTGTGTCAGCTCATTCAATTTCGGAAAAATCTAGACTATAGATTTAAATGTGGAGCTTTTCTACAGATACCCTAAAGCAGAGATTTCTGTCAGTGTGAACCTGTGTGTATGGAGCCTGAAAGAGATTTTATAATTTATCCTAATAATAACCAAAACATTTTTGTTATTATTGTTCATTTGAGGAAATGAAGTAATTGAATCAGATGAAAACAAAAGTGCTCTGGTAAAATAATGAATGTAATCATAAAGATCAAGGAAAGGGGGCAATTTGTTTCATTTATCTCAAATGGTAATAGAAGAATGTTCTTATGAAAGAAATTTACCATAGAAGTTTCCAGATATTAACTACATTGAAATTCAATATACTTTCAAAAAAACTATGTCTGTTTATGAAAAAAACAAATAGTTTGCTAATGTTTTGTCTTCAGCTTTTATTGTGTTTTATTACAAATTTGGGATAAACACAACCAAATATATGCCTATAACATGCAGTATTAAAATACTGAGCACTTTATGGTGCAACTGTCAAGAATAATTGACTTTGAAGATCTGGTGTGCTTTGTATAATTTTCTTTTCCTAGATAACCTGAAGATAAATATTAAATATATATTATACTATATAAATCAGGCATACTGTAAACAATAATCGCAAAATAGTTCTTTTTAAAAAATATTTATATAAACACACACACACTCTTGGAAATAACCAATAATAAAATGCTAGCTGTATCTGTTTTATAGGTACTATGCATACATAAATGCCTCAAAAAATACCCTATAAAA